TAGCCTCTCAGTTGAATCAATTTGTTGACTTCTTCTATCGCTTGATCTCCTACGTATTTTTTGTGTAATTGGAAACTAAACACGAATATCCAAATGATCAAAAGATTAGCGTGGAATCTGTGTTCCTTGATGATCATAGGGATGGCTTAGATTAGGGATAGCTTAGGGACTCCTGGGTCCAGTTTCAAACAAGCTACAGCCTTTCTCATCGAAACTGTGACCAAAACTCGTCCCCATCTTCTCCTGCCTCATTTGCCGGCCTGATGGCGACATTGTGGACCACGGCCACCGTTATTTACACTACGTGATCGACTATTGTGGGTTAAGAGGTGGGAAGAGTCGTGCGTTTCAAGCTATACCGTTGAGACCAATCAAAACAGCATCAAGCCTGGGTGCCGAGTGTTGGGTGCAATGACCACGCCGGTGTGTGTGTGTGTGTGTGTGTGTGTGTGTAAACGCCCACCTGAACCGGTCATTGTTCGCACTGCTAATTAAAAGAGGAACTATTTATTATGGTCGTTTCCCGGCCAACGGAGTTGTAGTTGAATTCTTAATGGAGTACTAGAGATAGTCGTTGAATGTTCACGATTTTAATGCATCTATATATCTATGAACGGTTTCATGGTGATCTCATTTTAGAATCAATTTTAATAGTCAGATTAATTTGTTGAGTCTTTCGGATGACAACCAAACTTTCTGTACGGTGTTCTAAAATAGCTGAAAATCGTATTTTTAGGTGGGAGTGTGTGTTTAGGTTTGCGAGTACGAAATGTTCAAAATATTAATCGATGGTGAAGCACCGATATTCTTTTAAGGAATTCCACGGATACAACACACCATAAAAATATTCTAAGGGTATGATGGGTGCACGGAAATCGACTCTCGCATGACTTTTCATCCAATATTCTAAATATATAGGCAAATAGTGACCAAATTGAGTAAGTTCCGAGTTTCGGGGTGACAGGAGATATAACTCAAAGGGGAACCTCGTATTTGTTTGAGTGTTAAGAAAATTGTGCCACTAAAAACCCTAGTTTAGGTTTCATGGAACTCTGTGCAATTGAAAGAGGTTCATTGATTCCTCTGTTTCATTCTATAAGGATGTCTTCGACACCGTGCACGAAAAGAGGTTTCATAATCATTGAAACGTCTTATGGTCTGTATGATGGAACCTGTCTCCTGACCCTCCTTTACTTGAGTAGTTCGAGCCATATACTTTTGGCCACTGGCAGTACGGCAGTACCCAGATACAGGGGACAGGTTCCACCACACAGACCATAAAGCACAAGGAACATTGCTGATTCTTGAACCTGACACCAGCAGACTCGAGTCCAAGTCTGTGTGACTGTGGTGACTAGCGCCACATCTCGTATATACTTCTGGGAAGCTGTGGGTCCAAGCCCTGGTAGCTCAGCTACCTGTAGACGTCAACGTCGTTCCAGAGGTTAGTCGTGGATCCGGGGTTGGAGCTGGGGAACATCCTCAGCAACCATGTCACTGACGTGCTCCCACGGAGAATCATCCGCCGTCTCTTCAAGTCTTGCTCGAAGGCCGTCGATGAAGTCTCGGAGAGTCGTGATGGCTGCGGAGTCTCTGATGACGGAGTTCCTCACGTACCAGGGTGAATCTGTCGCCTGTCGGAGAGCCTGTGGTTCTCGGGGAAGATGTGGTCCTTGCCGGGCTTGGGGATGAGGATGACGTTCGCCAGCTTCCAGGTGTCGGGGAAGTGGGCCAGCCTCACGCAGGAGTGTTTGTTGAGACCTTCGCCGACTCGCTGAAAGACCAGTTTTCCCCTCACCCAGATGTCTACGATGAGGACTTCTGCGAGGTTGTTGACGACTTCGTAGAGACCTACGAGCCGGACTCCGACGAGGAAGATCTCGCCCACGTGAGAAGACTCGAAGGCTATCAGAACTCCATCTCCCTATCCCATGTTTCCTAGGTCCGGTGGTTACCCTGAGCTCCTTCCTTCACACTAGAGTAACTTCACTCCAATTGGCATCACTGACTACTAATGGTTCTGTGAGAATCTGGCCTGGGAACTCACGCACACACGCACCTACACACACACACATTTACACGTTCGAGGGTATCCTTTGTGACCGTTCCGCTACGCACCTCAGCACAAACTACCTTTGTACTATAGAACCGACTCAATCGATTTTCACACTTGCAACTCGTGTGTCTTCTTAAGTTAAGATCTGCTCAAATGAACGAAATTCTGTGTTAAGTTCTGATCGATCAAATGACTTCAATGAAGTGAACTATTTTATTATCACGGCCTAAAAACTATTTTTCTACGACCATATTTTAAATAACAGTTTCAGTTCAATGCTTGGAATTTAAAAGTTTCACATAACAGCATTGTTTACTTTCATAACAGCATAGTTTTCTATTTGTCTATCATGGTTTTACTCATAACAACACGGGTAAGGGACCAATGAGATTCAAGGATTGAGAGAGAAGAAGTAAAGTTGTAATGATTCGAACCTAAACTAATCAGCTGTTCAGGCCAATTTAATTGTTGAGTGGCGCAATTAGTGGGTACAATTTTTCGTTGCATCACTGTCAGTGGCAATGAAAGGTTATAAACGAAAACATACCCCCACGTTTAACCCAACATTTATATAAAGTGGACTTGACAAAATAGACGACAGTCCAACCGGTACCAACACGACAGAGATTGATATTTTGGCGCCGGACCTTTATCGCTGTGACTACAATTAATCGGACCTCCATTTGGCTTGTCGGAGGGATATTTCAGTCCTGGGGAGAAGAAAAAGAAATACAACCAGAAATAAACAGGACGTCCAGTAAAAACACGTTTATTTTTGTAGCCGTTCGAATTTAACACGCGCATTGTTCAAATTGGTTGCCAAAGTAGTGCAGTGTCCGTTTTAGAATGTGCTAGGTATAAAAGTTTAGACCTTGAAATTTGTAAATGTTTTTACTATTTACTTTGTAGGCCCATACACATTGATAGTCAACGCGGTTGAGCATAAACAATGTTAACTTCCTGTTAAAATTTATTACCTATCACTCTTCACAAGCTCACAAAGAAATCCCAATTCAATGGATGAAATCTTTTTACATTACAATTAGTGACAATATAGATGAAAGAAGTTTCTTTGTCGTGAAAAAGTAAAAAATATACACAAAGATAAACACAAATAAATTTTACTCAGAATGCTAAATATTGTTCCTACAGTCGCCCAACAAAGTGGGCTTCCTTGCACAGATTATAGTATAGGCCTAGTACAGAAAGCCTTACTTTGGCGCACACCAGTATTCCAACTAAACAACACAAATAGCGTGCTTTTATTATGCACGTAATCCGTGTACGCTTGAAAATAAGTTGGCAACATTTAAAGATATTATGACTACGATCAGGTGCAGCGTTTCCCATTTGTTTGGATTTAACCTAACCTAAAAACGTGTTGTACAGTGTTTGAAAAACTAACTATTTATATGATTTATAGCATAGGCAAATAGAATAAATATTCTATTTGTCTATGTTTATAGTAACTGTAGGAAATATATAATGTCTACTAGTTACACAAAAACACAAATAACTATTTCCTATTTGGACCTATTTTCTTTGTCAAAGTCAGCGGATGAACAGCTGATGTCCTCAACTCCAGCCAATAACGTTTAGACCAAGGGATGAAAAAAATCGTAAGCCCTGCAAAACATTAATTTAAAAACAGCTGTTTTTGGTGCTAGCAATCTTTTCTATTTTGACCATAGAAATTGACATAATACTTGACTAATATAATTATTGCTCTATACACTGGTCCTACATACGCCAATACAATTTTGCTATCGATGATCTCTGTGGCCCCTAAGCCTGAAGACGGGTGTCCAAGTGGAACTAACCGCCACCAGGGAGTCACTTCCGCCAACGACAGGTCATTTCCGGTGTCTAGTAACTCAATCACACATTGATTCTACATATGCAGACACAAACCTGCTTAATATAGCATCCAAGATAACAGCAAGCTTGTGATTTCCACCGTGCCCTAACTAGCTCCTTGCACACTACTGTACTGTATTCGCCAGTCAATGAAAAAATTGGCTGGGGTACAGTTTTGTTTATGTTATATTTTAGTTTACTTTAAATTATTGATGTGATAGACACTAAAGTTTTTATTTCACTTGTTTAGTCGAAAGTTGTACTGTGGGACAAAATGTTATACGTTAGTGGCTACAAGAAAAACTTTCGCTCATCTTTTCTGGTACTGTGGTACTGTAGCACTAAAACAGCCCCACATAATCAGGTTTCTGAAATTGAATGAACCCAGTGGACATGGTCACAGAGGTGTACACCAGTAGCGGTATGCAACTAGAAACTATAACTATGTGTCTCCCAACTCTTTTATTTTTTAACAAACAATTTCTTTGGCGAGATTAGTGTTTAATTGTTGTCAGCAAGGTGTTAACAATCACATGCTAGGTGTGAGAACAATTATTTATTTAAGTTAGGATTTTATCATTTGTGGATTATTACATTTTGTATTTGAACCCAAACTTCAAGAGGAAGTGGTTCTTGATTTTAAAACTCAATATGGCTAATGGAAGCAGTTTTCTTTAAGCTGATGTTTTTTGTCAGGACGCTAGGCACGAGCCTGGGATTGTTTTTCACATTACTTCAGGCTGGACCATCGATGTACATCGATGGGCTAGACCTAGAGGTTGCGGCATTATTACTTAGATATAATCCTTTGATGATTTGGCAGTATTTGAACCCAGGACCCCAGGGATCGAAGTCCCCCCCCCCCCCCCCCCCGCTCTAACCACTACACCAGCTCGCTCCCCTTGATGATTGAGATATGTAATTTAAAAATTTTAGCATGGGAAACTCCAGAGCCTTTTTTAAAATAGTTATATAGTATCGAGATTAGAATGAAAAATCCATGCTTTATATCAAACTAAATTTATTTCAACATTTAACTAACTAATGGTACAAACATACAGTTAAATAACAACCATAAACTATGACAAAGTTATAAAACATAAAACAAGTATTATTGTTAAACTAAATTAGTAGGCTTACTATTTAGGGAACATACTGCTCATTTACTATTTGCACCACTAAAATATATATTTTTCAGTTGTTATAATCGGTATATTTTAGAAGTTTGCTATGCAATCTCTAATAACACATCTTAACCCATAAATACATCCAAAAGTCATTCAGTTCAGTTTGTTCAATGCAGAAGTAAAATTAGACTTTAACTTTCCTCCTGCTGGATATTACTTAAAATACTCTTATTTCTTTAACAAGGTACTCCATATGAAAATGGTATACTCAGTTTACCTGTTAACTGATAGCATTTCGAATAAAATTATATGTATTTAATGTATGGTAAAACATCATGCACCCCTTATATTAACAATATTAAAAGTATACTTAAAAATAATACATACCTACATTGATATTTTTTGGGTTTTATTTGTAACAATAACCTTATAAAAATTGCTGTTTTTTAACTGGATTGGTACAAAACATTGTATTAATGATGCTCATCGAACAAACTATTTGACAAGAAAAGGACTAGAGTTAGAGCTTAGATTATGCATACCACCTCTATTATACAATCCAGAATACAATACTATATTTACTTTTATAAATATATTTGAAAATAAACATTCTATAAGTGCAGATATTATTCAGTCCAATAACATAATTCTCTCTAAAATCAATGCCAACATAATGGATGTGTGTGTCGATTGTAGTAAACTGAAAATATTCTCATGCTCGACATCCTTGATGAATCACATGCTTAATTTTAAAGACAACCTATGTCACCTTAATTCGCTTAGACAACCTAAAACAATTTACTCTAATCAATCTTTTTGGTCTTTCTCGCTTTTGGTTTCTTCATTCCATTTTCTTTCTTCGTTCCATTTTCTATTCTTGCGGTTTTTCTTGTTGTCCGCATCAAGGAGGTGCATGTTCTAACAACGCAGTAGAGAGCAACAACAACAGCTGACATTGTTGTTGCCAGCACAACAACAATGTCCAGCAACAACAGCTGATACCATGCCAGGTGGACCGAGGCAGGTCGGAGATGTGGAGCTCCCTGGTGTCTGATGACATATTCTGTCCAGTAAACAGCTGTTTGTAGAGGTGTCATCGGCCGATCGTGGAACTTCCAGGATAGCTTCTGCATGTTTTCTGCAAAGCTGGAAATAAACAGCAATCAAAACGGGGATGGAAAAAAATAAATTTAATAAATCATTTATTTCTTAGTTGTCACTCTTAAAGATAACCATAACCGTCTATTAAAATTAAACTCAGACATCAGACAGCTGATTCCACAACGTTTTGTGGAATTCAGTCCACCACCATTCTATTTATATTACATAGCCAATTGCCTATTCTACAACTCATCCTATCTTTCTCTACCTCCATCATATACTCCTTAAATTGATTCCTTGCAGGATCCAACCTTTCTTCCCTACTTCACCTAAGAAAATCCATTTGCTGTCTCCTTGTTACTTTGCCCCTCACGCTGACCCATAATTACCATTTTAGACTATAGAGTTATATATAATATTATTCTTGTTTTCTTTGATATTTCTCTACCCCACCAAACACAGTTAACAACCTTGTTAGCAATCTTTCTTTCCAGATCTTCCATTTTATTATGAATTGAATAGGTTGGTTCTTTAATTTTTAATTTCCTGTTCACATAGACTGCGGACAAGGGGTGAACCTGTGCAGTACAAGGATGCAGTGTATGGATAAAAAGTATCGTCAGTGACCAGGATCTGAATTCACAACATTGCTGCCTTTGGGCCCCAAGTTTGTGACCCTATCTACTGAGCCACTGATTCACCAAACAACTTCTGCCTTACTGCTTCCTAACGAATACAACTCCTAAATATCAAACTTTCTCTCATTTTTCCCCTACACTCCACAGACACTCAACACTTCCATTCCCTACTACCAAACCACCAAATGACCCTACTTTTCCAACCACAATTTTGTTATTTTACTATTCAAACCGCCCACCTTGGATCTTGCAGAACAGCCTTGAGAGCTGAGGCGATGTCTTCCTCTCTGAGGTTGTCGATGTTCAGCACAATGCCGGCTCCTCGACGTGCGACATTCTTGGCGTTCTGGTACTGGTCGGAGAAAAACGGGACTCCAATCAGGGGCTTGGCAAAGTGAACTGACTCCACTGTGCTGGCCAGACCGCAATGAGTGATGATGGCTCGGACATTGGGATGTGCTGAAGACACAAGTTACACTCATCAGATGAGGTAGAGAAAACGCTATTGCAACACATACACATTTTGAACGTGGATTATTCTGTGATTAATAATGGCAATTTTTATCCTAAGAATTGATGTTACCGTACCTTAGAGTGAATAGTACATCAATACCAGTATTTAATCAATTTGAAAAATAAACGTATGTTTCTGTGATATTTCTTATTTCCATGCTACAATATATAGTGGAATATTGTATTCAGATTTGTATAAACAAAAATAAAATTTAATTGAATCAATCGAGGGTGAACAATGAAATGATTTGTTTGGTCAGAGTTTTGTGGGACAACTTGATTTACAAGTATAACTGAAATCCTCACCTTATACCAAATTCAGTCATGTCGGTAATCTAAAATGAAACCAAATATGAAACATACACCTAAATTTTTCTGGTGAGAGCCGCTAAGTATTTACAATATGTAATGTGAATACCCAATTGAAGCAGTCCTCACCCGAAGACCGAGAATTCAGTGATGACACCTGCTTAAGCACACACCAGAACTTCAGAGGTTTTACAGTAGGACAAGTAGTCCACAAAAATGATACCTACAACAATATGTTGATAGGTCACCTACCAGCAATGTTGGATTGTGGGAGCCATTTCCTGACAACAACATTGGGAGGAAGATTATCCAAGGAGTCTTCATACTTGAACACCACAACTTGCGGAAGTGTTCTGAACACATTCAGGAACATCTGTATTGTCCGTGGAGGAAGAGAGGACGCACGGACCAAGGAGCCGAAACTGAACAGGATAACTCCTTGCTTAGCGTCATCCAGAATCCGCCGAATATCCTGTGGTAGACAATACGTTATTTTAGGATGATATTGATAAATTAGTATCACAGTGATACAAGTTAGAATTGAGAGAAAGAACTTGAATAAGAGATTAATGAGGTTTTTTATTTTAGTTTTTCTTGAGATAAACACAATTTAAGGTGTCTATCTCTACAGATAAATAACTGTACGACCTATCTAGGAATGTTTTTCCACAAATTGTGTAAATTGTATTATGGAAAGTAAATAAAAGAACGTCTTATAACACTTAAAACATATATTTACGCTTATACTGTTACTCACAAGACGGTAAACATACAAAAATGATGGTAAGTGGTGATCGATCGAGTGGACACTCCAATCATCATCAGACCCATTAGGTGAATCCATCCATTAGGCGATTTAGTTTAATTGTCTTAGTAACCCAGTCGTTGCTGTGCTCATAAACAATTCTTTAAGTTGCTGGTTCATGTTATAGACCCAGGCGCCATTCCTCAATGGGCTGAGCATTATGCTTTCTAACAAAGTTGATATTAGGTAGTAAAATCTGAGGCACCGAATGAGGAATGAAAAACGATCACAAGACCTGTCTAGGGGAGGTCCGCCACAACTCATTTGAGACTGGACCCAGCTGTCCCTGATCATTGGGCTTTAAATGGATCATCCTGGCTAATGAAACAGCTGATAGTCAGTGACAACACTACACAAATCATTCTCACAACATTCTACACTCCTTTCACTTGTATTTGGGTTACAATACCTAGGTGGCGTTCCCAACTCAATTGATAATTGATCATTGAGCTATTGAGCATTATTTAGTCCTGACTAAACAAACAGCTGATCTTAGTCAGTAAAGCTACTATCTCATCCTTCACTCTTCTTCGCCTTAAAAAACACACCCTGATGTGTCGACAAATAGATCTGGTATAATCAAACAAGGGGTGTGTCTATAAAAGCCATGCGAAACATACACCACTCTTTACAACAATTTACAATTGTGCTATCGTAATACGATTTATATTAGGGTTTAGTACTAACCTCAGGCAGTGCCTTTGGTTCCCTGACGTGGATGCCTCCGACTTCCACCACGTTGGGTGGGAATGGTCGACTCTGCGCCAGAGTGTAGTGGCTGTTCAGGAGGATCAGCGCCGTCTGGCGGTTGATCTCATCCATCGGCGGCAGGGAACAGTTGAATACTTTTTCTGCCAGTCTGTAAAATAGATTAAGTTACTTTGATTTTAGGTTAAATTTCTACCCTTGTTGGGGTTGCTGCTCTTGACCATTATTGGGCTTTTAATTAATATGGTTCTGAAAAAAATCATTTTGGTCCTAGTTGATAAGAAAGATGTCATCAATTCATTAAACAGACCTTGGTGTGTCGTAGAAATTTAATCTAGTAAATGAATTTTTCCACAAAAGTAAGGAACAGAGGAAACATTTAATGGTACACTTATGTGGTGTCTAGCACTAGTCGCTGGTATCTAGGGCAAAGTCCAACACCGCCCCCCTCTCCATCATGTACCTCAACACTGGGAGGAACACACCTTGTTCATTTACATTTATTACAAAACATTTACAAAAGTTTACTAGATATAACTTAAGTGGTTGTTAAAATAGTCATGATGGTTGTAGCCGGGGGGTGGAAGGAAGGAGGAAGACTATATTGTTTGCTATTGCGGGTTCGGGGGTGATATATGGTGGTTACGGGATATTGGCGGGAATTCGGGAAATCGGAGGGAATAACAGGGTGATGCTAATACCCTGGGGTTCATTGGGGTATTGCTATGTCTGGACCAAACTTAACTTAAGCGTGCTGAATCTGCTACCAATAAAATTAGGAAGATTGCTGGGGACCAGAGGGACGGAGACCTTTACCCAAATCAGAACACCTGCCTAGCCAGCTTTGATTTACACTAACTTAACTAAATATTTAACCGTAGACCTATCCTTCCAACTATGAACTGAACATGGATAATTACTTAGAAATATTGCAGAGTGAATGAAATATACGTAAATTGAATACTGAATGTTAATAAGTAAGAATTGATTGATAACTAATAAGATACATTCTGGGAACATGTGGTTTAGTTTTTCATGTTTGAAAAGGTTGGTTGCAGAAGGCAGCCAGGAGCCAGCCAACCAACTAAGTTGTGGTTCCCTAGATTTCAATGGTCGGGTGAGCCAGAAAAGGCTCCCCGGTGTTTCCTGACTTAGCCAACCATAATTGGTACTTATATCCTACATAATTATAACTAAATATAAACTTATTAGTTTGCGGTCGCCGGAGTTAGCCATTTTACAGTTTTCTCTTCGAAGGATCGTAGACCAAGACAAGAAGAAGGACAAGAGTAGGAAGGTGGGGATAGAGCGTTGATGCAGTCACGGCAGGCAACGAGATGGTTATGCAGCCCGGCATCGCGAAACATCTGAATGGTTTCGCCTGTTGGTCTTGAATGGTCTGACACAATACATAAATACACACCAAATAACTCGCACTTCAAAAACAATGTTTCTTTATCAATTTCAATCAATAATAGGAGAAACATTTTGTTGTTGTTGAAATAGGTATATTGTTATTTTTTGTTCTTACACACATAAGATTTTTCTACACACATGATAGGCTATAATTCATTTTCTAAACAAACTAAATAACAAAAAGTAACAACCCTTTGCTTACCTGTGACTGGGAATATCCGAGTAGAAGTGGTACACAGTCTTGGACCACATTAGCGTGATCGAGTTATACAGTCTCTGCCAAAAGTTCATCTCGGCTGGGTAGTCCACAAAGTAGTTAGGTATGTAGGACGGATTATCCGGTAGCCCAACTCTATCCGAGGACCAAGGTAGCGATGCGCTGGTCACCCACGCGATCTGAGGCACACCTAACTTGTAAGCGATATAACTGAAGCAGTCAGCGCCGAATATCTCTCCGATCACCAAATCAAACGGTTCGTTTAGAAGATTTAATATTCTCTCGTCCTTTAAAACTTTCTCACAAACGTCCATGTGGATTTTCGCAATGAAGATGGGGGTAACAAATCGGTTGGGCATGAACTCCCTGATAGAGTCCAGGGTATAACTGCTAACTGCCGAGGGTAAGTCGACGGAGAGATCGACATCTCGGAAGTTCTCGAGCCGTTTCTGTTGAGGGAAGCTGGAGACGACGGTGAGATTGTGGCCTCTCTGATGTAGCGCATGGAGTAACGGCTCCATGACGATGAAGTGACTCCGTGCATTGTACGGGAACAGACAGAGAATCTTGGCGCAGTCTACGGAGATCAGCAGAGTCCACGAGATCCATAACAGGAGATGCATCTGAGTGGTTAATGAGAGGTTAGTTTTGCGATTGTCACAGAGAAGTAAAGAACTTAAAGGGTAAAGGACTGTGATGATTAACTGTCCTAGAACCAGTTAGAAAATGTGTTGCTATTGTACTAGTTCTGGTGTAACTTCTGGTTTATGAAATTGGTGTAAATAACTGCTTTGTAGTAATCCTAATTGTTGCTAGTGTTGCAACTAGTTTCGACTTTCTACAGTCATCTTCAGGCATCAAAGATGTCAAAAGGGATGATCACTTATATGAAGTTCGTCATTACACACAAAGTACATGAAAACACGAACACGGACATTAAAATGGTAAAAACGGCACATGACGCCTAAAGATGACTTTGTAGAAAGTCGAAACTAGTTGCAACACTAGCAAACAATTAGGATTACTACAAAAATTATTACGATTCAATGTAATCTGGTGGATAACTTCTAAAACGAAATCTAGTGGGTTAATTCACTACCACTGTATCATCGTATTTCTATTCAGGGGATTTTTAGACTTAAACGGGAGTATTTTTGGCTGTGACGCCTGATTTTATTATTCATATACTACTTTTCCAAAGACTAACCCAAAATGATTAATTGTTTTAACACAGTATTAAAGCGGAATAAACATTGCTATATAACATTATACATCAAAAAGACTACTCGGGATGGGCCAGATGCGGGATATTTAACAAAATTTTTTTCATTAAGTTAAAGGGGGATAAAACAGGATTTTATCAACCCTTTTATTAGGTGATTCTGATCTTGGTTAACACAGACCAAAGATATTCGGAGACTAAAGCTGTTTCAAAATTGAAGTTTTGTTTTTAATATGAGACAAAAAACACCAACAATTGATGCATATGGCAGCTAGTGACTTAAGGTCTGTTTACTTACTTTTCTAAGGAAGTGTGGATGAACATGGTTTCAAATTGATAATACAGTACTATAGAAATAGATATTATATCAAACTAATTGTGTGTTGTATCTCCTCAAGCTATACATGTGCAGGTTTTATAATGGTTTCAATTTTAAACTAATAATAATTTAATTTAAATTTATGAAATTAAACAGGTCATTTGAAAGAGTTAAAAATACAATAATCAATTAAGCTACAAATTTATGCAAAATCTTTCTACCCAAAAATGGTCAACTCCCAGCTCTGATTCACCCCCAAATTCATTTTAATTATAACACTAACCTAATTATTGAGATAGGTTAAGGAGATCACATAAGCTAGAACTCACTAATCACTGCTACCTACCCAAAATAACATTGTCTAAGTAACATACAGTATCTACTTAATTTAATTATTTTCTACTCAGTATCTAGTAGGGTGAATATATCAACAAAAATGCATATAAAAAGTGTTCAAACATAAAAGAATTACTTACTTCCATGTGCTTGTATTGTGCTTACAAGGTTAAAACTGATTTCCAACAAGGTCAAGGGTCAACCTTATCATCAAGCTCAAACAAACCCTCCAGCTGATTAGGACTATAATCATGACATATACCGGTATTTTAACCAATCTTACCTTAAGATGGCTAAATGTGTATTTTAAGCTGTATATGAAAGCAGAATGAATTTATGTAGAATAGAGTGAAATAACCTGTGAAGTAAGATCAGGATTTTTGCCAAGACAATTTTGTTAAGAGACTACAATGTACACCAAGTAACGGGTTTCAGGTAACAGTTAATATCTTTTCTATGTCCATCAACTTAATTAATAGTTATTTCTGATTACAACAAATGTATTTTATGGTCCTTTCAATTTGTAACAATATGGTAACGATGGAAAAATTATAGTTCAAAAGTTAGTGCAACTTTTGTGATTTTACACATAAAATACCATACCACGCTTAGGTACCCATTATAAGGGGTTGTTGGCAAGATAATGGGATGAAGTATGTGTCAGTTTGCTGATACTCTTTATTTGAATCAATATTACCCTCTATGCTTCTTTTTTACTAACAAAAAAAAACATGGTAGATAAAATCATGACCAAAAACGTGTTGCCTTTTGCAATGTTATATCAATCAAGTCTGTGTACAGTATTAAGATATGGAATTAAATGTTAATTTATCAGAAGCTGAAATTTTGGCCCTCTTCAGATATGTTTGTAAAGCAACGGTACTGCCTCCTGCAGGTCAATAATAAAGTTTGAATCCTAAACTGCTAATCAAGAAGTTATTTAGAATCCTAAACCTAAACTTTTAATTAATTTTAAATTTTTAATGGTAAATTATGTTTAAATTATTCAAAACCATATTAATAGAAGGATTAATTGAATTATCTATCGATTTAAATGTACAAATTTCAAGAACTTCAATTCTGTAATGGCATATTTAACCGAATCATTTGTTGATTATTGTTTATTTTTTAGAGAACCATCAGAGTAAAAACCCCTGACATGATAACTCCTTCAGTTTACTGGCAGAAATCCGCCTTACTTTACTTTATAACATTTGTCATTGAATTATCAGGAAGGGACAAAGAAACTTGCAAATGCAAAATGCGTATACAGTCTGCAAGACAAATTCTATTTAGGGGTAATACTGGTAATAGTTAACCAAAATTGATATCAAAATATAAATCTTAAAAATATTGTTTTAAAAAGTTAAATACAATTAGTCTAGATGAACATATTTTGTAAAAGAAGAGTCTAGAGCTTGATTTCAGATTAATTTGTGGTCTGTTATACCGGTTATACATACTCCATTTGTATGATTTTGTCCACGTTTTGAATACTGTAATTATTTTACGCTGGAATTTCATCGATTTCTCAATTTGTTTGCAGAGCCAGAAATTAAAAACTGTAATATCTACCGGTTCAATAAGGTAGTTTTGTTCTGAATTAATTATTACTTTTTTGTTATCAGAGATAGTATTTTGTCTTATTGTATCACTGAATAAACCACAAAAAATATTTTCATCATTAGTATTTTATGCAAGTCCTTTTTTTAGATTGAAAGTTTTTATGTAATTATTGTATTTTTTATTTCGAAATGCTTTAGGATAGTTGAGGCCGTTCCTTTCAGACATTTGGTACTTTTTCATTTAAAAGAATATTAAAATTTAATTTAAAATAATTTAAAAAGTGTAAGAAATATATTTTTTTTATTTCTTATACCTTTTTATGAATATATAAGTATTGCTAGCATACAAATAGATCTGGATGTGTGTAGGCTAAAACCAATTAACCAATTAGGTATTAAACCAATTAAACTAATTAAATCAACTGCCATTGGAGGATAGTCAAATGCTACAGGGGATTCCTCAGCTAGTGGAAGTAAGTTTTTCAACGTTCATAGGGAGTCCAGAAACAGATTAAAGAGTGCATAAATAAATTGAAACTGCCACAACAAGGAACCTGCGACCCCACGACTGCCTGCAACAGCAAAATGAAACTAACGTTCATTCAATTTACCTTTCATCATTAGTACCCTCCCAAGCGATGTTATAAAGATAGTCAATTGACCGAATAAAAATGTGATCAGGGTATTCATTCCAAATCTACACTTTCTCTTCATTTTCAGTTATGCAAAAAAACAGAAACTTTTCACTCGATCTTTGGAGCGATCCCGACGAGTTGTCGTTGCTCAAGCGGGGAACACCCTGTGACCGGGTTTCGATTTTTAAAAATCATAGCAATCTAGACGTGGCGATGATGTCACCAAGTGAAGCCGTAGCCGTTTATTACATAGATAACAGTTCGCGTTGGTTGGTTAGTCTATGTTTTAAGGTTCAGAACTAGACCGAGCTCTCCTTGATCAATGGGTGTAATAAATTATTCTGGCTGAAGAGTTAGTTGATCAACAACAAAGCTGTCATATAATAAAATTATTGAATTCAACCTTCATCCTTCACAATTCACTCTCCTCACTAATCTTCACCTTGAAATAGACTAACCAACACGAGTACTTTTCTTATTCCATTTAATTGATACTCGTTTTTCGCGTCTAGTTGGGTGACACGGTGACACTGAGCCCCCAACTATCACTGATTGCTATGGTATTGAATAAATGTTGTCTCTATTATTTTAGGGTCAATTATTTTTATGATTTGCGCTTTACTGTTTGGTTATATAACCAGGGGCACTAGTTACTGAGGGAGTATGTTTAATCTATGGTAAACTCTAATCTCATATTTCATATAGTACTGCTGATTTAAAGCTCCCTCCTTCAGTTAACTCCGTGGTGTTTGATTTCAAGACATGTAAATCTAACTGACACTGACAGTCGACAGTCTGTAGCAGTGTTGCCACTTTTAGGGTAATTACCCTTTTTTAGGGTAATTTACTGGTCTTAGGGTAAAGGTTAGGGTAATGGTAGATTTAGGGTAATTTTAGGGTAAAACAAAAAGTTAGCATAACAATGGAAATTTTACTAAAAACATGAAAAAACTCCAAAATTTTGCAAAAAACGTTCATTACATACTATGGCCAAACCATCATATTCGATTCAACCGGTTTAAATCGATTGCTAAGATAAGTTACCGTATCCTAATCAATCGATCTTATCAATAGATGGGAATTATCTGTTTTAGAATGAATTCGATTCTATAACACGTTATAGGCCTAATAAAATATGAAATATTATTCATTACTGGGTTTGATATTTAATTATGTGATTGAATTGAATTAAACTGGATTATTTTACAAATTGTGTCAAGAAATTACTACTATGTATAGATTAAAGCTTTGGTGGTACCGTACTGTATTTTAAAGATATGATTGTCCAAAAACAATAGTAATAGGACGATACAGTAAAAAATACGATAGTTCTTGATTCGATATTTTTTGTTATACAATAGAGCTGATCAATATCAACATTTTGTTCTTCTTTCGGGTGGTTTTTTAGAATCGAGTATAATTTTACGTAAATTGATTGATATTGGAACTTCATTTAGTATAATTAACCACCTTATGTAAGATTTATATGATTTTAACAATGTTTTATAGCATTAAACGCAAATATTAACATTTAGGGTAATTTTTAGGGTAACTCAAAGTAGATTTAGGGTAATTTAGGGTAATTTTAGCCCGCCTTTAGGGTAAAATCGCAACAAGGCGGTGGCAACACTGGTCTGTAGACGTAGACGTCAACTGAGAGAGAACTGATACCGGTGAGGTTATGTTGACACTTATTTTAAATTTGGAGTGTAAAGACAGATTTAAATTAATTTATATGAGCTAATATATACATTTTTATATCTAATTAGGTTATTTCAACGTTAAATTCTAATCTTATTTTAATTCTACATATCGATGAAATTAGGTTATGCATTTTAGTTTGGTAAGTACCATACATACCATTTTGTATGTAGGCCCTAACGCACAAATTTTCTAAAGAATTATAGATAAATTTAAAATGTCTGATGGTACGATGGACCTAAGTTCATCGAAATGCAAAATAAAAATAATAGGCCCTACTAGAAATCCATAGCCTAGGACACTCCTCCACTGTGATAACGCAGGAAAACTATGATCATGATCAAAGTAGTCAGTACTCATAAGTTTGTACCTTGTATAATGCATATTCAAATGTGACATCACACCTTTCTAGGGAATAATATTTAGCTAATGAGTAGCCTACGATCCCTAACTGAAATTATTGTTGTAGGTCTAGGCTTGGTGTATTTGTTTTTCTAAGTTAAGTTAGCTTAAACAAGTCATGCAATAATGTTAGGTCTAAGACCTATTAATGACTGGGACGGTGGCGTAGTTATAGTTAAAGTCAATGAATGATTAAGTTAGTCTCTCTGGGGCTCAGATGGTTAAACTTATAACCGGTTGTGTTGTTCTCTGTAACTTTGGTATAGCCTTGTAGTACCACAATTAAAACTCATTAATTTTACAGAGGGAATGAAGAATGTTTCGAATTGAATCATATATAACATCAATAATTCTTAGCTACTTTGATCGTTATATCAAGAACTTCAGACAACAAGACGCTCAGGTAATTTACTAGGCTAAGTTAATGTTTTAAATGTCTAATGACTTTGTAGCATCCTGTTAGTAACTAAGTATAATCAACGTTGTTAAATTCATTTTTGATCAAATAATCAAGCGTTGAAAATAACTGTTTAGCTTACCTAAGTTATGATATAATGTACGGTAGTACCGTACTCCATGTTACACAAAAATTTGTATCGCTGTTTTCAACTTTTGCTTCTATTCTGTTAAGTTAAGACAAAACGGTCCGATAAAAATGTTGTTCGAAGTCATTAAGGTATCAACAATTAAGCATTTGACCAGTAAAATACAAATATGAGACATATCAGATTGTTTACATGTAGCTTTTAAAACTAAATAAAATATGGTTTCAGGTTTCGTTATGGGAGGGAGATGGATCATTCCAGAATTTAAATTTAGATCTGGAAGTTTTGGAAGAGGAGTTGAATCTTCCGTTTAGTTTTGTATCTGGACACATCCACGAGTTGTTACTCCACGTGCCATGGACTCGACTGACTTCCGAACCTGTTCAAATCACTATAAACACGATAGGTGAGATAACTTTGTCTTAGATGTTTTAGGTATTCACCTTAGTGGACTGCAGGTTCCACAGACAACAAGACCACACCTGGTACCATGCCAATCATCGCTCAGTTTGAGATTAGCTTGATCGAAAGATCAGGAAAGTTTTCGTGCCAGGAACACTTTGTATCGATCCTATTTAGGTCTGTTCAAGTTTCATGCGCCCTTTTATTGGCAAATCCGAGCCTTTTGTCCCACATTTTATTTACATTTGGCAGTACTAGAAAATCTATATTTTTTAGAATTTTAAAATCACGAGTATTCTCAGCCAAAAAAGTCTTTTAAAAAAGGTACAACAGTAGCCTACATGATCAATTTGTGTAGATGTCTTTCTAGTTTGATTTTTCTCATCAGATTTGTAAATTGTTATTTTCTGTTGCAGAATGTGTTATGAAATTGAAACCAGTCGGCAGCTATCATCCACATGCAAGGCACTCAAGGTTTGTATGAACAGTTATCAAAGTCCATTTATTAAAACTTACAAAATCCTTTATTTGATAGCTAACTTGAACCAATTGAAATTGATCATTTTCTTTAAGCAAATAATCCTGAGTAAAGAAAAAGCTTATTCAGTCAGCAACAATTCATATTAAGTTTAGAATACACAGTAGTCCTTCTCTAAATGTAATAATAATGAGGATGGCACCACTTTTAAAACCTATCAGATTCGGACACTTAGACAACGCCCACTTATAGACACATAGGGTGTCTACAATGTCTGAATGATGTACAGTACGTACTTGTAGCTACTCCGCTCTGTTCAGTGATAGTGCAGGGGTTACAGCTGTCGGTATAAATTCAGTAGTAGAACCTATGTTCACAAACTGAAGCCACGTCCAGGGTTGCTATAGCAAACGTTAGGAAACTTCCTCGATCTTGTTAGTGGATACCGATTGCTTGGTGTAGGCCTAGGTGTGATTGATCGACAAATCCTAGCCGACTTTGGTTTTACGTTTATAATGGCTATTTGTAAAAAGTTAATTAAAAATATAAAATTATTTTACACTGTGTTGTTTCAAATACATACATTGAAAATAATAGTCTGAATAAAGCCGAGTTTACAGAAAGCTAGTTGGCAGGCAGGTAACCTGCTTTAGGTACTTGAAACACACTTGAGGTGGGTAACCTGCCTGCCTATATAGTGTAAATGTGGCTTAGTAAAAGTGACATTCTCATCTTTATGTCACTTCTGAGAGTGGCAAATCTAAAGAGCTATTTTGTTCCAGCTGTATTTCGTCTAACTTAATTTTGTATGTTGCTCAGATTAATTACTTCTTTAGTGTTTCTTAATAACTTTTTTCTTTGAAAATCAACAGAAGGAGTCTACAGGCGATGGACGACCCCCAGAGCCAATCTTCTCTCGTCTCTTCTCTCGTCAACAAGATTATCTGCAACGTTTCCGTTACTTGCAACAACCTGATACTCAAGTATGTCGAGGAAGACATTGTGTTGTCCATGAACATCAAGACCCTCAGCTTCGGCACCGTCAACAACAACTGGGAGCCTGCGTTCATGGGTAACTTAGATACTTGACTTGGATAGTAAAACTCAACTTGTAAGCGTAATAAGTTTTTTTATGCAATTTTTATTAATTAAGATTATATTTTGAAGAAAATATACGAGAATTATTTCTTCAGATAGGTATATTATCTGTTATAAATTCATAAGTTTGAGCTAGGTAGGCCTATGTAAAATATAAGGGAATTAAATCTATTGATGAAAAAAATTTGTGATACAAAGTTCAAATAGGCCTATCAAGAAATTATTTCCTTTAATAAATCTTGTTGCCATCTCTTGGAGAATAGGGGCTCTAGTCTTCTTGTTTTTAAAGTTACATACGAAACAGAGATGCGTGAATCGTTTTTTGAATGGTACTTTCTCGTAATGATAAGATTCTAGTGCTATGGTTGAATTTATCAAGTATATTTATTTTCTTGGTAAACTTGTGTTTCAGAACTGAACGCTTCCCAGTTAGAACTGCGCAAGGTGATCTCCCTCTCCGACGTCACTGTGTGTCTGGATAAAAGGAACGCCTCGGGTAGAATAGAATCATACTTGGTCAGTATTTAGTTGTAGTATCTTATTGTTAGGTCTTTTGATAAAAAAACTACTGATGGATTTAGAACAGTTTTAAGATACAATGAAAATTAACCATACCTAAATTCCATCCAATATTTACGGTGCAGTAAAGGTCTCATTTGAGATAGTCGTTATATTAGGCCTAACAATTGAAATTATTTTTTAATGTTATAGAATTATTTGGTACTGTAAAGAGACAGCTGGTAACGATTAGTGGTGCTGAAACTCCCACAAAAAAAAAAACAGCTTTTAGAAAATTTGTTCTGCCATGTCAACGGCCAATACAGTTTTTTGTGGAATGGTTCAAGCTTATTCCATTGTAAAGTGTAACACATCCTCTGTACTCCAGGAGCCGCTGTTGTATCGCTGTTTCATCACCATCAGGCTTTGGCAGAGTTATTTGTCAGTGAGTGCAAAACGAGCGCACTCAACTCGACTGGACGTCTTGTGTGAGCAGATGGCCTTCACAGGTATTACATATTTGTATACATTACTCTATGTATTCTATTCATAAATCAAGCTCTAACGGTATGGTTGAATGTTTGCTGTAGTGACACAAACAAAAAAGTGTTTGGATTTATTCATGTCTGAAGGTATGCGTATGCAACAACAGTCAGTGTGTAGGCTATGCAACTGCCAAATTTATGGTTAATAAGAGGCTAGAGCACTGAACTGTTATGTATTATTCTTGGATTATTTATTCTCAGATCAGTTGTTGAACAACGGTTAAACCTCAGCCAATTCGCCATTGGTCTAAGCCAAGAAATTCTTATACACTGAAAAGCCTCCTTGGTTTGATTAGCAGTGTTCCAACGCATTTGTCAGAGTTCGGACAAAGTCGGCAGATTTTTGGACTGTTTGCTGAAAGTAAATATATTGGGAGAAAAACCTTTTGCAAATTTTCTATTACCGTGTAGGAAATAAGCTACTACCTAAGAAGTAAGAACTTGACCTACGATTGATTTACTTTTTTGTTTTGATGTTCCAGAGGCAAAAAACGCCCATTTATATACAACTAGCTGTACCCGCGGGCTTCGCCCCGTTTAACTTCATAAGTATTCGCATGGCTCATTCTAACTCGCCTCAAGGTTGAAGTTCGTTCGCTACGCTCACTCACCTTTTGGTTGGAAATTAGCTGTTGTCATAAATAAAAAAAGAAATTAATAGTGCTGCACCCTGTTGGTAATCCTTGTAACTTTTATGCTGTTGAACATCATAGAACAGAACCAACTTGTTTAATTGAGACAGCTGTTAAGATTCATTAATTCCTTTTAAATATGAAAAATCATAAGATTAACATGGGGAACTACAGAGCCACTGGGGCGGAGCCCGAAAGGGTTTTTGAGATAAGAATATGCTTTAATGTTAATCGGGAATGTGAGCTATCAGCATGCCAAATTTCAGCCCAATCCGTCCAGTAGTTTATGCGTGATTGAGCAACACACACACAAACATACACACAAACTCACAAACTTTCAGATTTATAATATTAGTAAGATTAAGTTAGTATTTACATTGACATTCCGCTCTGATTGCAGTGAGCGAGCCGCAATTACCGATGTTGATGAGGTTGATGAGTCTGTGTCTGGCGTTGCATCGTAAACAGTTCTCACAGACCAATCTCCACGCTGCTCCTTCAGACGACACAATAGGGGACAAAGAGGATACAGAGGAAGGTTTGTAAACTACTTGCGAAATATTGTAAATATTTTATTCTACGTATTGATCTGTTTTACCTTTGGGAAAATGTGAGAGGTTTAATTATTGGTGCTGTTAATGGGGTTAAATAACTCCAAGAACTCTTTATCGTACATATTGCTACCATCGCCATTAAATATTATGTGGATTGCAAGGTGTAAAAGTATTTGTAGGATTATTCCCATTGATCAGCTACCACTACAATGTTTATCCAGACCCCCACTAAATCTAGACTAAATAATAAACATAGCCTATTTTATTATTTTACTCTACTATTTTACTTTTTTAAGACGAAGTTAAGTTATTAGAATTTATGGTAATAATTTTAAACCTTCGTAGAGAAATATGAAATCTAGATCAGGTTTATTTTCCATTCCAGCTACATAATGCAAACAAATTTCTACTTTGACATTTTTAGTTATTGCATAACAACATAAATCTAGATATTAAGTCAAGTACTAAGAACTACTTTCATGTTGATTTTCCTAAGTGTTTATTTAGCTTTTGCTCTGATGGAGGGTAGTATTAATACAATTAAAATATGTATTGAACTATTGACCCCAAAAAAAAATTGCACAATCAAGGAATTTGGTACAGATGTTGGGTGTACCTTCCTTTTGAACATTGCGGTGGGATGTATCGTCGTAAACCTTGAAAGAAAACCGTCAATTTTGATGGATTTTACGGATTTTTGATAAATAAAAAACTAACTATACTTAGTTGCAAATAACTAAAAAACCGTTGGGTTTAGAGAAAAATTATATAAAAAATGTGTATTTTTAGATGGACTACATTTTGTATATAAAGCTTTTTGCTATAAGCTAGCCTATCTCTAATAATGAAGTATAGCCCAAAATACAGAAATAAGCCGCAATTTTGCAATATGGTGACCCTAGCACAACTTCAATGTTAGCAAACTTTTAGTAAGTATGTTCAAAAGGTGTACACCCAATAACTGTACGAAATTCCTTGCTTTTACCATTTCTTTTTAGGTTTATGGAATTTCTGCTTTTTTTTACTGTACTATTTAGCTCCATAGAGTAACAATTTGAATTAATCCTTTATTACGTCATCAAATGAGTAGTGAAATATAAGTTTTGTCTTCACTTTATTGTTTTATTTTTCAGGTGACGATGATGGAAACCCTGAAGAGTCTTGGTCCAGCTGGGCGTTTGGTTGGATGCCGACGTTGATTCCTCTAGCAGACGACGGAGAAGAAGGTGATCTTCTCGAGTCAAATCCTCCAACTAGCGTCTTCAACTTTGGATTCTACGTTGACACTTTCACACTGGCATTGAAGGTGTGATTGTATTACATTATTTAAACTGCTTCAGCCTTTACTTCTTAGTATTGATAGATATGTTAAATTAATCTTCTGGGACAGTACGCTCGTTGATAGATAACAATTTTCATGAACAGAGTAATTTAGAATGATTACTTTTGTTTTGAACAAATTTCATTGTCGGTTTTTTAACTTTTTAGTCGATTTTACCAGTTTTTAGCAAAAATACCAAAACCTAGTATTGATGGAAAATTTTGGTTTTGGTTTATTGGTCGTCAATTATTCTTTTGGCGGATACAATATATATGGGAGACAATAATAATGTCTTTGCAAAGGCCATAGACGTTCCAGATTATTTGCAATCACAAGAGACGATGATGTCTTAAAGATCGTTGACGTTAAGGATGTTGATGTGATCGCAGGAGACTTAGATGATGTATTCATTATTGCAGTAAATGTTCTAAACTTTTAATGATAAAAAATGATCATGAATTGTCTAGCCAGGAAGTGCTTAAATGAAGTTCATTAATAATACAGCTTTTACACTTGCAATCATACAAAAAATGCATTATAATTTATAACACCAAATAGTTACATATAATGAGTGTTTAGAAATAAATAATAACTAATTTCTATTAAAATCCATTTTTAGCCCCTGAGCTGTGATATTAATTAAAAATAGGTATTTACCTTCGTCTACAGCTCAATCTGTTGTAACTTGGGTTACGGCCGTTTCGGCATTATAATGCCATCGTCAGACGTTGAACATTCAGCTGAAGTAGCGTCGTCATAGTTGAAACACATAACACGGACACGAATAACATTTTACAATTACTAACGAAGACACAACGAACAGGCCTGTCGCACACACGGTACCGGTTGACATTGCCACGATCTGAACTGGATGCCGACTGGAGGTTAATCCTGCATCGTTCTTTGCGTAGTGGTGTTATCAGCTGACCTTTGTGTAACGGCCTAGCCGTTTATACTCTTGATAATTCATTTTAATCGACTGCTCAGGAAATATGATAATTAAATAAGGAATTGGCAGGGTAGGAGTAACTGCCACATTTGTATAAATGGCCTGGTTTGGTGTTAACATCAACTATAACACCTTTGTCAATACATTAGTAAATACATCAATATGATCATCGTCCAAACCAGTGGTCAGGAACTTGATAAATATTTATTTCAGTAATTATTCGAAGATTATTGAGTCTCCATATTAATATCCCAGCATCGCCAAACTATCTCCAACCTCGTCTAAATTATAACATTATTCTAGTAGCAAAAGTTATGAAGCTGGAATATGCGCATATCCGGTGCTAACTCGGGCTTTCTGCTGACGGAGCTAGCCTCCGTTGGGGAGTGTATTTGTCGGGCAAAGAGGTCGAGCCTTGCGCAGGGTGCCGCTCAGCGACTACGCTGAACGCTGATTGGTCCACGAGGCGCATCAGCACTGCCGACAACGAAGGAACAAGGCAGTCCGCGTTGAAATCTTAATTAAAACAGACGCGACTCCGCGCTCCCTTTAACCTAAATTTTATGTCTTTTGTTCTAAATTTCTAAATTCGTTTGCTCTCAACCATAACTGTATAATTTAGTAAGTCGATTAATCAATAAATCTCATTGTTTCCAAATGCGTGTATAATTTTAATAAGCTCCCAAGTTTCTCGGTCAACGCGAGTTTCGAAGTGGCGATTGTTTTCGGCAACGAGGCTACGGGGGTTTCAAGTGGTGTCAGGTGTGGGGTGTGTTGCAAGAATACACACTACTAACGATCTCCACGAGACAACAATGGGATTTGGTAAGTGATTGATTTTCTTACGCAATATTATTGAATGTTCATAAAATAATAAATTATTGACAAGTGACAAAATCATAATTAGAAGCTATCTGTGCATGTAACAATAATTTAAATTCATTTTTTTGTAAAGACTCGAATCAAAAACTCTCACTTTTAACAATAAAATTAACTACCAAGAATTTCTGAATTAATTTCTTGAATAGGACAAAGACGGTAGCCATTACTTGGCAAAGTGCTGTGACGTCAGAGCGTCACTTCCCCCTCTATAGCGTAAAGCTGTAAAGCTGCGTGCTGCTCGCTGGTAAAGAAGGTTGTCTTTACAGTTGCAAACAAGATGGCGGCAACTGAGCTCCCGCGTTAACGACTCACGGCGAACTCGAGATACTTTAGGCCTAATGCATTATAGTACCTGATTGAGTTGCAAACAATTAAGTTGAATAATATTTTTAAATAAATTCTTGTGTATAAATAATTGAGTAGTTTATTATTTTTGATTAATTTTGTGAATTACATTATTTTAAAAGAACTTGAAAGAATTATTTAGGAAAACTAACCTTGTGTAAAACACTGCTTTTGTAACACTAGCCTAAGGTTGGAGGGAATATTTTAAGAGTTCACACTGACATGTGGTGGCGTTGCTAACAATGTTGAAGTAGTTGAAATAGTTGTGAAAGGTAACATTAATTGTTAATTACATTAAATTCTTTAGTGACTTTTTCTAAATAAGAAAATAAATTAATAAAACCTTGGATGCAAGTGGACTTTAGTGCACTTACTTGTAGTTGACCTGTAACTTTGAACTTAGTTTTATTTTGGTAAAAATATATATACTTAAGAAATAAAACATTGTTTAGCTATCAGGACAAGCCACAGTGGACCCTTATGATATTCACTGGGTAGTTTTAAGATTAAAATAATGATGGAGATTTAATTGTGTTTTAACGTTTTCTTGGTAACTGGAGCAACAGTAGTCGTGGCGGTGCTTTGGCTCAATAAAGGATTACAATAAAAATTATTTTTTTTATTTTCGCTTTCTGGGGGAAAGTGGACATAGTGTATACAGTCACGCGACGTGGTGGGCTGGTTAATAAATTAGTAGTGGCAAATGGGGAATTCTGCCGGTCATAAAGACTTGTAATTTTTCTTGCTGTTTTTGCGTACTGAATAGCTGACCTGACTGGACACCTGTTTAAAAGTTTTTGGGACTGCCATAAATAAATAAAAGGGAGCGCGAGTCTGACTTAGACATTTTCGAAATTTAATCCAAATAAGATTTCTAGAATCTGCAGTGTGTCCTTACGTCAGTGTTAGTTGATGAGTGTTAGTTTCTCGCTGTGGAACTTAATATCGGCAATCAACATGAACGCGTATCTTTTAAAGAAACCTGAGAATGTGTACGAATTGAAAATTCGTGGCCAGCCAACCGAAGGTACGGCGGAAGATTTGAGGAAGCGCCTCACAAAATGTTTTAAAAACAATGTGGCAATTGACGAGGCGGTAATTGCCGGTTTATCAGTTGAGGATGAACTCAAAAACTGTGAAGAGCGACTGGGTGAGCTCTCTGCTCTAATCGCCGATTATGAGGGAGACTATACGGACCCAGAGGGCCAACGAATACAAGCGAGGGTATGGCACAACTACTTGAGAGTTGGGCGTATACCGGTAGGGGCGACGAATGATGAAGACTCGACAACTAAATATGAGACATTGTCATCAGCCTGCAAAACGCAAACCGAAACGACCAAGGCCACCGTACTCAGGCCTAGCTCAGAAAATCAAACAAAACGCGCTGACCCACCGACGACCGGTATGCAACGCCTAAACCTCGAACCCGTGAGCCAACCTCCTCGGCAGGTTGTTACAGAAACATCTGCGAGTATGGCATCTCATAGTAGATCTGAGCCTGTGTATAAGTGGAGGCTAAGTTTCGACGGAAGAACCCAGAGTGTGGGGGCGTTCTTACAACGCGTAGAAGAATTACGACGAGCAAGAGGCGTCACTCCAAATGAGTTGTTCAATGCCGCGGTAGATCTATTCTCAGGGCCAGCCCTAGTGTGGTACCGTTCCACAATAGGCCGGATAAATTCCTGGGAACAGTTGTGCAAGGATATGGAGGTTGTCTTCCAACCCCCAGACCATGACCTCCGGCTGAACCAGGAGATTTTTAACAGAACCCAAGGGGAAGACGAGTCTATTGACCTCTTCATTGCCGTTATGGAAGGGTTGTATGGTCGTCTGGCGACGCCGACCCCAGAGGGAACGAGACTGAGGCAAATATACCATAACCTTGCACCGTACTTGCGAGATAGATTGGCACTATTTGATGTAAATTCTATAGAAGAATTGCGGCGGTTGGGTAGGAAGGCGGAAGCGGGTCGCTTTCATGCTACCCCAACAACGCGCGGAACTACTCATGGTCTTGACGTGCTGGAACCTGACCTAGCCTACACACCTGGGCGTAACAGACACGTTGACAATGCTGGGCGCGTGGCCCCTAACCGTAAAGTTTTCCAAGCTTCGACTGCTGATGGAGTAACGTGCTATAGATGCCATAAAAAGGGCCACCTGTCACGAGAGTGCACAAATAGTGGTAGTCGAGAGCGGACACCGACAACACCCTTCAGATGTTGGAGTTGTGGCCTACCAGGACATTTTAGGGCAGACTGCCGGGCGGGTCAACGTCGGCGTTCCCCAAACAGGCCGGCGGGAAACGACAACGGGCCCAGTGGAGTCACCGACGCCAGGCCCCGTCAGTAAGAGAGCCAAATGTCTCTCAGGTGACGCAAACTAACTGCAGACAGCTAAAAAAGAAGGAAGTAAGAGTCGTCCCCGAGGTAAAATCACTAGCTCAAGAACTGGTGGCGATAGGGCAGATAGACTGTTCGGAAGGAAAGGTGTTGATAGACACCGGCGCGCAGGCGTCGCTCATAAAGCGGGGTGCGTCTGTTGCCCCTATAGCCAAGCCGAACGTGATATTGCGAGGTATCTCGGGCCGTATTCTGAAGGTGTACGGTCAGCAGGAAGTCTCTATTCTGCTTAAGCCTGGTGTACACGTGCCCGGAACATACGTGGTAAGCAACTTACCGAAGGGCTACTTAGCTGTTCTCGGCTGCGATATTTTAAAAGATGGCTCGGGCCGAATTGACATTAAGAACGGTCTGCTAAAGTTATTCGGGAAAGATATATGGCTAAACCGGTTGACGAAGGGAGA